TCGGACCACACCACACACGAGTCCACGCTCATCATCACCGCACTCTTCTTCCCGCCCGCCGGGGACGACTCCTGGCTCCCGCGCGACACGCCGAGCGCCATCCGTACGGCCCTTTCCACGCGCGACCCATCGCTGCGCGCCAACCTGGACGAGTTCGGGTCGTACCGCGTCGAGGCCTTCTATGGGCCTGCTCGTGCGTCTGGCGGGGGGTAGGGGGCGGGGTGGTGAGGTTGAGGGAAGGGGGGGTGGTGGGGTGGTGGGATGGAGGGGGTGAAAAATGGAGTGAGGGGAGAATAAGGGAGGAAGGGGGGAAGCAGGGGGGATGGGGAATAGAAGGGAGGAGGGGGGAAAGAGTCTCTGAATACGTCACCAACAACCCCCCAGGCCTCTCTGGGCCTGCTTCACTTCCAACCTATGTGGAGAAAGACGCACGGAGGACGCTGCGTCCTGCGTCTGGACGCACGGACGCAAGACGCGCGTCCAGACGCAGGATGCACGGCGATTTTTTCTTCGGGCTGCCCGGAAATTCCCGATCGCGTAATTGACATTCGCGATTTCGACGCGAATGTCGAAATCACGAAATTTCGACCCCCCCTTGCCCAAATCACCATTGGAAGTGTGGAACGTCCTCCCCCCCCCCCCCCCCCTCTTAGCTCAAATGCACTATTTCGTCACTCTTCGAGATAACCGTTACTTTAAAACGGTTAACTAACTTAAGTACGAGCTAGGTGAGATATAAATACGGCGAGAAGCTAGGGGTGAGCTGAGTAGGGATGAGCATAAGGCGAACGTGAACATGTTCGCGTTCGTCTTAGCTCGAACAGGGCTGTTCGGCAAACCGAACAGTGTTCGGTTCGCCGAACACTTTTCACCAGAAAGGGTGTTCGAAGTTCGCCAGGAGAGGCGAACATTTCGAACGTTTTGGCGAACACGAACGCATTCGCCAAGAACATGTTTGTGTTCACCTCAACGGTGGAAACCACTTCAACGGTGGTGCAAACTCCAAAGTAGAGACGAATCTTCAACTTTGGAGTAGATGCTACGTTCTTAGTATTGAACATCGAAGTCACCATAATGCCTAAACGCCATAGTTAAATAAGTTTAGTTTAGGGCCTATGCTACTACTAGAAAGTGTGGGCGTGGTAGGTGGTTGTGGGGTGGGCGGGCTGTTGGGAGCGCCATGGTCGACAAGCTAAAAAGAATGAGCCACAGTGGTAAGGGCCGCGACCCTAAATTAGGTCGCGGCATTTTCGTCGACGAACATTTTAGGTGTTCGTCGACGTGTGTGTCGAACACGAACATGTTCGTGTTCGACGCGCCTCGGCACATCGCGGCCGGCGAACAGCGAACATGTTCGCACGAACGTCGAACATGTTCGGGATGAACATTTTTTGGCAATCGAGACGAACCGAATGGGTGTTCGCCAAAATGCTCATCCCTAGAGCTGAGCTTGCGCAAGAGCTTGCACAAAAATGTCTCGCAGCTCAAATTTGACCCCCACGACATTTGTCGGGGGGGTCATATCCCCGCAAGAATGAGATCTGATGAAATTGACTCAAATTAGAACAAAAATCGCATTTCACCGCACTGAATCTAGAATTTCCAACCAGTCTATCAATTCCCAACCCAGGTTTTTGCTGCATTTCTTGGCCTGAGATATAGTCGACAGCGTAATCAACTCCCAGGGCTTTCTCGACTAGCTTATAAGTAGAGCTGGCCCGTGGCTGCGTGGCATTTCCGAGCCGGCCTGACCCGGGCCGGGCCCAGCCCGCCCCCGTGCTCATCCAGGGCCTATAACAAATTTTTTGCCTGCCCGGGGGGTTTTTTTGCCCTGCCCGGACTTGCGTCTTTTGGTGTGGCTTTTTGGTCCTAGTGCTGCGTCCTGCGTCTGGACGCATGCGTCTGGATGCACGCGTCTTTCTCCACATAGCTTCCAACCCTTGAGACTTCTCAAAACTGAGCAAGCCTGCTTACATGTGCCACTGCACTTCATACCTGTCGCAGCCACTCAACCTTTCTCCACCCTGCTTTCAAACGAACTATGCCTCCCTGCTTTCTCCCTTAGTCCTTCACCAGTGTTTCTCCCCTTTTCACACACACACACCCCCATATGGCCTACGCCTCCCCGTGAGCAGCCTACATCAGGGCTGAGCAACAGGCGCTATCGAGATGACTTTTGCACCGACTTAGAATTCAAGACTTGAAACTCGCCCTCGCAAACCCGTCACCCCTCCCCAATGCCTACACGCCCCTGGAGAAGCCCGCATCAGGGGCTGACCACGGGCGCCATAGTGATGTGTTGAGTCGTCTCATTGATTCCCTCCCCCCCCGCACACCATTCCACTCCACACCACACCACACCACACACACCACACCACACCACACCCTCTTACAGCCTACACACCCCCGGGACAGCCCGCATCATCTGGGCTGAGCATAGGCGCCATCGTGGGCATCGCTGTGGGCTGCGCCACTCTTGTCATCTCCCTCGTGCTCGTACTGCTCCTCCGCCCCTGGAAGAAGCGAGGTGAGCCTGCGAAGCGGGAGGGTGAGGTGGGTGGGGATAGGGCAAGCTCGGACAATGAGGTGGGAGGGAAGTTGTGAATTAAAGGGGAAAGAGGTGAGGTGGTGAGAAAGGGAAAAAGTTGAGGCAGCAAGTAGTGTCCTACTCATTGCGCATGTCTGTCATCAATGCTGTTAGCCTGCTGAGGGTGGAGCAGTGCGGACTGTTGTGCACCAAGTATGTCCTAGAGGGTGGTGTTGAAAGGCACTGTCGTGCAGCTCACTTGTTGCCTTCTCCCCCCTCCCCCATTCTCACCCCTCCCCCATTCACCCCCCTCCACCATTTATCCCCCTCCCTCATTCACCCCACTCCCCCGTTCACCCCTCTTCCCTATTCATCCCTCTTCCCCAGTTATCCCCCTCCCCGCTCTCTCGCCCATTCACTCCTCTCCCATTCACCACTCCTCTCCCATTCATCCCTCTCCCCCATTCACCCCTCTTCCCCATTCACCCCTCTCCCCCATTCAGCCGTCCCCCCCATTCACCCCCCCCATTCTCCCCCTTCCCCATTCACCCCGTCCCCCATTCGCCCCCCTCCCCCATCTAGACATGAGCAACAAGGCAAGTAATTTATTCGACTCATTTTTGTTACTCGTTTTGGGCGAGTAACGAGTTGGACTTTTCCAGAAAAATACTCGCGCAAGTCGAGTCGAGAAATACTCGCGAGTAATTGATTTCTCGAAGTTTACTCGTTTTTAATAACGAGTAATCCATTACTCGGTTTCCACACATGTGTAGCGCAACACGAGCCGAGTATTACTTGCTCCAAAACGAGTACGTCGGCAAGGAGGGGTAACGTAATACTCGTTTTTTTTATAACGAGATAATGTAACTGTAGTCAGTGGATTGTGCTTTAGTTATGGACGTCGTGTTATCTTTTCAGAATTAGGTCTTGATAGCTGGGAAAATTACGGCAATTTTAGGACCCAGTGGCAGCGGTAAATCTACCTTGTTATGTTTACTGACCACACAGCTATATCCCACTTCTGGCTCTGTTATATTGCATAATAAGAATATACACCGTTTGTCCCACCACAATTTGTATGCATTACTTCGTAACATAAGGTTGTTGTTTCAAAATGCCGCGTTAGCCTACCCCCATCCATATTCTCATATTCAGTCACCACCCCCTTAGGTTGGAGCAGCGCCGACTAAAAGGCCGCACGTCATTGTTAGGATCAAAATATGAAGTTTATGAAGATTGGGGGGCCGAAATAACTCAAAATCGTCAACTAAGTTTCTGAACAGGACAGTCGTGTTCACAAGAAACGTCGTCGACGCATAACGCACCGTTAGAACTGTTAAAGGGAAGGGAGTGTTGGCCCCGCCCTCGCTTGGGCAACGCCGACGACTTGGTCGGATGTACGGGTGAAGCAGCCGACCGTTCGCAGTGAAGGAGCTGCTCGACGGGCTTCGTCGAGCTGCAGGATGTCACTGTGGAGCAGTCCGTCGACCTACAGCTCGACGGCGAGGATTCTGGAGCATCCCGTCGAACTGCAGCTCGACCGGGAGTACTGGGGGGCATCCCGTCGACCTGCAGCTCGACCGGGAGGTCCGCGAAGCATCCCGTCGACCTGCAGCTCGACCGGGAGGTCGACGGAGCAGTTCTGGTCGACGGAAGGGGTCTGGCGACCAGGGGGTAGCTCGACAGGAGCTGTGGTCGACCAGAGGCACCTGGTGGTCGACCAGAGGGAGCTGTGGTCGACCGGAGGCACCTGATGGTCGACGGAAGGCACTGGTGGTCGACCGGAGCACTTGGTGGTGTCCGGATCGATCAGGTAACCTGCTCGACGAGTTCTGCGGAGGCACGCGAACGTCGTCGAGGTCGCGATGGCGAAGGCGACTGCGGGCTGGTATCCCGAAGTCGATGTGGCAACAACAGCCGCAGGCAACAGCCGACGGATGCCCAACAAGGCAAGTCGGGCCAATCGTCTGCGCGCACCTGCGAGCGTGCGCACTGCTGTCTTCTACGGGGCAACGCTGGGCAGCCGCACAGCTGCAACGTTGGCACGCCGTCGACCTGCAGTGTTGGCAGGTCGCTCTTCTGCAGTGCTGGCGCGGCTCCTCTACGCAATGCTGGCACGCGGTCGACCATGCAGTGCTGGCGGTCGACCAGGCTAGCTGCAGAGTTGCTAGGTGCCTGATGTAGTCCATTCTGTCATTGCTTGTTCCATCATTGTGTAATTCCAACTTTGCTAGTGGAAACTCTTGCCAATTTCTCCCGTGAATGTGCAAGCACTAAGGAACTAAGCAAAGCTACGATCACTCCTAGTAGTTCGTGCCAACCCCGTAGTCTAGCTCACTACCGTTGTAGAGTGAATCTCCGCATGGTGCGGTGAGCGTGGATCGAACACGCGACCTTCAGATAGGAGCCGACTTTTGCACCTACTAAGTCGTTCGTAGGCCGGCAGCAGCGTTAGTCGCCATGGTCGACCCCGTAGTTGATGCGGGCGTAGCGGACACCTTGGAGACACGCTTGGCTGATGGGAGGAGACGCCACGCGGATGGCGAGTACGGGACGATCCCCTTGACGATCGTCGAGTTGGGCATCCGGGCGCAGTGGGCGACGGATCACCCTTCCCGTCCTGCATCTCCTCGACCGGTGCGAAACGAAGGTGGCGTCGACGTCGAGGTCGACGGAGGTGCTCGAGTCAGCGGCAGCGAAGGCACGAGGCAGAGAGGGGTGATCAAGGTCGACGGTGGCGGGATACAAGCGCAGGTGCAGCGGTCAACGGCGGCCGCAGGCATCTCGCGTGTCGACATCGATGTTCGACGTCGCTCTCCCCTACGAAGTGGTGGAGGTCTCTCGGCGACGACGCATGTGACGGCGGGCGGAATTGCACCGGCGTATGGCTACTTCAAGTTCTCGCCGGACCGAATCACCGTCGCACCGCTGCAAGGTCGACGGGACCTCATCACCTGGAGGGAGTCGATCGAACCTCAGCTGGAGGTCGCCGGGCTGAAGGGCTTCGCCGACGGCACCGTGCCGATTCCGCCCGAGGAGGATGTCGAGCTGCGCGGGGAGTTTCGTGCTGCTCACCTGCTCACTTTCATGGTCATCTCGAGGTGCTGCTCGCCGGTGGTGCAGCTAGCGCTCAGGAGCTGTCGAGAGCGACTTGATGCTGGTCACCAGGCATGGCGCTTCATCCTGTCGACGTACCAGGTGAAGGACGACCTGTACATCGGCCAGCTGGAGGAGAAGATGACGCATATGCGGATGGGCGAGCAGGAGTCGGCGACGGACTACTGCAACCGTGCTCGACGGATCCTGGCGGAGATGCGGATGGCGGGCGCCGAGTACTCGACGGCGTCCTACATCACTCACCTCGTCAAGGGCCTGCCGCGCAGCTACAACCTCATGAAGAGGATGATGATGGTGCCCGGTGTCAGAATCCCAGTCACTAACCACTGGGATAAAAAGGCTTGTTTGTATAGCGGGTGAGTGCGCCCATAACCCCCCAGGCCAACGGGCCTGTAACCCTTCCCTACGATCACCGGGGATCTCCAGTGGACCTCTGACACCCCCCCGCACTGGGATGCCCGAAGTGCACACACCGGGAATCGAACCCGAGACCTTCGCTCTGATACCATGTCAGAATCCCAGTCACTAACCACTGGGATAAAAGGGCTTGTTTGTATAGCGGGTGAGTGCGCCCATAACCCCCCAGGCCAACGGGCCTGTAACCCTTCCTTTGGATCATCGGGGATCTCCAGTAGACCTCTGACACCCGGCACGCGTGAGTCCCTCGACGAGGACTCCATCACCAGCTACATCCTCCAAGACGAGGCGATGCAGGAGGCCGAGCAGCCCACGGAGCTCCTTCCGCAGGCAAACTACGCTGCACCGACGAAGCTGAATCAGCAGCAAGGGCAGCGCGGGAAGCCGGGCGGAGGTGGTAGCGGAGGTGGGCGGTCGACGAAGGACGTCGACGAGAAGAAGTCGACGCGGGGCAAGGGCCGTGGAGGTGGTGGTCGACGGCGGGAGTGCTGGATCTGTGGCGACCCCGACCACCTCTCCTTCGAATGCCCCGACCGCGATGACAGCGACGAAGACGACAGCAAGGGGAGCCGCGGTCGATCGGCCAGCCGTCGCCCACGTCGAGATGAGAAGCCGCGCAAGGAGAAGAAGGCGTCGAAGAAGGCGTCGTCGACGAAGGAAGTCGACAGCTCCAGCGGCAAGGACCGAGGCGACGGGGAGGCGTCGTGCTCGATGGTCGGCGTGGTGGAGCCGACAGTCTCGCTGGCGCCGGAGGCTGGCGAGGACTTCCAGGCGGTGGCGGCAGCCGTGCAGGCCAACCCGATGGCGGTGCTGCTCGACAGCGGGTGCTCCCACCACCTGATGGGGACGAAGGCGGTCTTCGTCGACATGGGGCCGAGCGACGGCGTGAAGCACGTACGTGGATTCAACGGCGCACTGCAGCCTGTTGAGGGTCGCGTAACCGTCGCTCTGCAGGGGGAGGCCGGGAAGCGGGTCCTCATCCCCGACGTGCTCTACGTTCCGGGCGTACATGCGAATCTGCTGTCTTCTGGTCAACTAAAGGAGAGCGGAGTGCAGCTGCAGGGCGACGGCGACGAGATGCTGCTCGTCACAGCGACCGGGGAGGTGCTCGGTCGAGCACGCTACACCGGACGAGTCCTCTGCACCGACCTTCGCCCCTGCTCGACGCGGTCGCCATCGACCGAGGTGGTCGCTCTGCGGATGATCGTCTCGACGACGAAGGTGACTCCCGACCGGCTGCATGCGAGGCTCGCGCATGTCGGCATCGACACGATCAAGAGCTCGGCAAAGCATGAAGTTGCTACTGGGCTCGACATCACGCCGTCGACCGGAGCAGACCCGCCGTGTGTCTCGTGCGTCGGAGGAAAGCTGGCGCGGCACACCTTCCCCGACAAGGGCTCGGATGCCGAGGAGGCACTGGCTGTCGTGCACATTGACCTGTGCGGGCCATTCCGAGTGGCTGCCAAGGATGGCAGCTTGTACTTCCTGCTGCTGAAGGATCGCCACACTCGATTCGTGTGGGCGATGCCGGTCGCTAAGAAGAGCGACGTGCTGCGGGAATTCCAGAAGTGGCTGGTGCTGGTGGAGCGGCACACGAAGTCGTCGGTATAATCGCTCCGCTCTGACCGGGGAGGGGAGTTCCTCGGACGGGATTTCACCAACTTCGTCGACGGGAAGGGCATCGTCCATGACCTGACGTGCCCCTACACCCTGTAGCAGAACGGTATGGTTGAGCGGGAGATGCGCACGGTCGTCGAGTCCGTGCGGACGATGCTGCTGCACATGGGCGTGCAGCACCACTGGTGGCACCTCGCTCTTCGACAGGCCGTCTGGGTGCGCAACTGCTTGGAGCGGTCGACCACGCCGCCGGGGACGACGCCGTACCAGCTGCTGACCGGGAAGAAGCCCGACCTCACGCTGGCGTGGGTGTGGGGCTGCATGGTGCAGTTCATGGTTCCCGAGCAGCAGCGCGGTGGGAAGCTGGCGCCGAAGGCTCGCTGGGGGCTTCACCTGGGCGTGTCGCCGGAGAGCAAGGGCTGGGAGGTGCTCGACCTTATCGACAACAAGGTGGTCACGTCGGTCGAGGTGATCTTCTACGAGACGTTGTCGCTGGAGGTGTGGAAGACGAAGTATGGGCCGGCGTCGGGGCGGACGCAGGCGCACCCGCCTACGGACACCTCGACGGAGCCGGACCCACTGCTCGCCGAAGTCGACGAGCCTGCTGATGAGGATGTTGTGGAGGTTCCTCCACCTCCCCCTGTTCTTGCTCCTCCCTTCCCCGTCGCAGCTCGGCCTGCGTCGACACCTGTGTCGTCCACAGGCGATGAGGGGAGCCTTGAGGCGTCGCCCGTGGCGCCGGCCAGTGGCATCGCCGGCGGTCGACAAGGCGCCAAGCTCGGCGACGGGGGCCGGAAGTCGACGACAGGGGAGCAGCGGACAGGGGAGCCAACAGGAGGCAGCATCGAGGGGGCCGTCGACAGGGGAGCAGCAGCCGGGGCGGTCGACAGGGGAGCTGTCGAAGGACGAGCAGCCGGTCGAAGAGTCGAAGCAGTTGATCGACGACGAGGTCGTCGACGAGGAAGGGGAGCTGTCAGCGGGAGAGGCACGGACAGCGACGTGGTGGAGGTTTCGGTCGAGCAGGCAGCGCCGGAGCTGCGACGTTCTGGTCGAGCTCGACGGCCGCCGGAGAAGCTGAGCTACCACGCCCACGCCTGCCTGCCACCAGCTGCCTTCACCACGGTGTACGACGAGGTCGACGACGACCTGTTGTACGACGACGCCGAGGAGGATGAAGATCTGTCGGAGCTCGACCCCGACGTGCATGCCGACCCCAAACATCGCTGGGACATCTCGACGATGACGGTGAAGGAGGCGCTGGCGAGCTGGAAGGGTCCGGCGGTGAAGGCCGCCATGGAAGAGGAGATCCGCAGCCTCATCGGCATGGGCACTTGGGAGCTGGTCGAACGCCCATTCGGAGTGAACATCATGAAGAACCGGTGGGTGCTGACGACCAAGTACCACATCGACGACACCGTCGAGCGCGAGAAGGCGAGGCTAGTCGTGAAGGGCTTCACGCAGGTGTACGGCGCCGACTACGACGAGACGTATTCGCCGGTGAGCAGCTACGTCACGCTGAGGATCTTCCTCAGCATCGTCGCCGTCCTCGACCTCAACCTGATGCAGCTCGACATGAAGAACGCTTTCTTGCAGAGCAAGCTCGACAGGGTGCTCTACATGTACCAGCCGGACTACTTCGACGATGGGACCGGCCGGGTGTGTAAGCTGCTGAAGAGCCTCTACGGGCTGAAGCAGTCGCCGCTGCTGTGGTACAGGGCTCTCGACGGAGTGCTGCTGGGAGCTGGCTGGAAGAAGAGCCAGGTCGACGAGGCGCTCTACTTCAAGACCGGCGACGACGGAGTGACCTGCTGGGTGCTGGTCTACGTCGACGACCTGCTCGCCGCCAGCAGCAGCACCGCGATGCTGAAGGAGCTGAAGGAGCTGCTGGAGTCCGCCTTCGAGCTGCGGGAGATCTCGCCGGTGGTGAAGTACCTTGGGCTGGAGATCGTCCGCGACAGGCCGTCGAGGAAGCTGTGGCTGCACCAACAGAACTACGCCGACAAGCTACGTAGGCGCTTCATCGACGAGGAGCAAGGCGGGCGCGTCCCGAAGACGCCGGTCTCGGTCGACGCCTACGCCGAGCTGACGTTCGACGACGAGGAGGCGCAGGAGCGCGAGGAGGAGGAGTACCGGCAAAAGGTCGGCTCGCTGCAGTTCGCGGCGACGACGACGAGGCCGGACATCGCGTTCGCCTGCAGCAAGCTGGGGAGCGGCCTCACGGTGAGGAGCGACCAGCATTGGCGCGAGGTCGACCGCTGCCTCGCCTACCTCGCCGACACCCGCGACACCGCCTTGGAGTTCGGCGGTGGACCAGAGTCGCTGGAGCTGATCGGCTACGTGGATGCCGACGACGCGGGCGACAAGCAGAATTGGACGAGCACGGGCGGCTACGTGTTCGTCTACGGAGGGGCCGCTGTCTCCTGGTCGAGCTCGCGCATCAAGTGCGCGACGCTCTCCTCGACCGAGTCGGAGTACGTCGCGGCCGTAGATGCCGGCAAGGAGGGGCGTCGACCTCGATTCCTCCTTGCGGAATTCAAGCTGCTCGACGCTGGGAAGCCGACCATCCTCCGCGTCGACAACAAGTCGGCAATCACAGTCGCTGAGGGCTTGGGGCTGACAGGCAACCTCAAGCACATGGAGCGACGCTACGCCTGGCTGCAGCACATGGTGAGGCGCGGGAAGTTCGAGTTGAAGTACATCCCGACCACCGAGCAGCCGGCGGACTTCATGACGAAGGCGCTGCATTTTCCGGCCTTCAACCGGTGCTCCGTCGCGATCGGCCAAGTGCGCCTGGCCGACGTCGGCGACGGCGACGACGAGGTGCAGCAGTAGGTGCCGTGCCCTTCTGCACGGCTGGTGCGGTGACGGCGTGCTGTGTGTGGGGTGCACGCCGAGGACGAGTTTTCTCCGTGGAGTACTGCCGTGTGGGCTGGAGGCCCAAGCGTGAGCGCGGCAGGGGAGTGTTAACGGGAATGGAGTGTTGGCCCTGCCCTCGCTTGGGCGACGACGACGACTTGGTCGGATGTACGGGTGAAGCAGCCGACCGTTCGCAGTGAAGGAGCTGCTCGACGGGCTTCGTCGAGCTGCAGGATGTCACTGTGGAGCAGTCCGTCGACCTACAGCTCGACGGGGAGGTCTCTGGAGCATCCCGTCGAACTGCAGCTCGACCGGGAGTACTGGGGGGCATCCCGTCGACCTGCAGCTCGACCGGGAGGTCCGCGAAGCATCCCGTCGACCTGCAGCTCGACCGGGAGGTCGACGGAGCAGTTCTGGTCGACGGAAGGGGTCTGTCGACCAGGGGGTAGCTCGACAGGAGCTGTGGTCGACCAGAGGCACCTGGTGGTCGACCAGAGGGAGCTGTGGTCGACCGGAGGCACCTGATGGTCGACGGAAGGCACTGGTGGTCGACCGGAGCACTTGGTGGTGTCCGGATCGATCAGGTAACCTGCTCGACGAGTTCTGCGGAGGCACGCGAACGTCGTCGAGGTCACAATGGCGAAGGCGACTGCGGGCTGGTATCCCGAAGTCGATGTGGCTCGTCAGGCGCAGACAACAGCCGACGGATGCCCAACAAGGCAAGTCGGGCCAATCGTCTGCGCGCACCTGCGAGCGTGCGCACTGCTGTCTTCTACGGGGCAACGCTGGGCAGCCGCACAGCTGCAACGTTGGCACGCCGTCGACCTGCAGTGTTGGCAGGTCGCTCTTTCGCAGTGCTGGCGCGGCTCCTCTACGCAATGCTGGCACGCGGTCGACCATGCAGTGCTGGCGGTCGACCAGGCTAGCTGCAGAGTTGCTAGGTGCCTGATGTAGTCCATTCTGTCATTGCTTGTTCCATCATTGTGTAATTCCAACTTTGCTAGTGGAAACTCTTGCCAATTTCTCCCGTGAATGTGCAAGCACTAAGGAACTAAGCAAAGCTACGATCACTCCTAGTAGTTCGTGCCAACCCCGTAGTCTAGCTCACTACCGTTGTAGAGTGAATCTCCGCAAGAACTTCACCCAAAATCGAGTATGATGTAGCCAAAAACTTTGGCTACCATTCATAATTTGAATCGTATCAAGAGGTGAAATATTTACCGAGTTATTTATTTCGGCGCACTAACGGGTATGCTGTAACTGAAACTTAACTCAATTCCAATACTCAACCAAGAACCACACAAGGAATTTGAGTACACCTTCATTTTCGACCTTCGCACCAGCAGGCATTTGGCAGGCTGATTTTGTTTTATTCAAAACATCTAAATAAACCATACCAAACCATCTCTAACCGCTCTCAACCATGCTGTTTTTTCCTACAAGTTAACGAGGTCAGTCTAGCGAAAACGAGGGTGTAGCAAGAAACTGGGTACGAGAGGATGAGGAGGACGAGGGGGGAAGGTTTTCAAAAAGTTCCTAACCAAGGACCTATAAGCTCACAAATTCATTGTTCTATAGGAAACCAACTTTCACCCTTGCTATTTTCTCAATCTTCTAAATTCACCTCACCCGAATGTACCACCCTTGCCAACTTAGTTTGACTTCTCTCTACCACTTTGCAGCATCTACAGTGAAAGTGACAAATTTTCCAAATCCTTTATAATCTATACCACATAAAGACCCACAAATTCTCAAATCGACACAACAATTATCAAGAGCATACGAACTTCAACCGTTCGTAACTTTCTCATTCCTACTCCGATTGAAGAAATTATTGGTTCGTAAAGAACTCTTGGGAACAAAATCAAGTTCATACACACTCACAAGGCCCAAAGCTTGGCAAACACAATTCTTACGCACGCACACACCACGCATGCAAGTTGAAACAATGACGGGAGGCAGGCAGACGTGATTGCAAATGATAGTATCACATAAACTCGTTGCCTCTTCTGTACTCCATCCCTCTATGCGTTCTGTCTCCTTTCTCCACTCATCCATGCAGGGTGGTTCAGCGCGGATCATGAGCGCTAGAGGGCAGCAACGTGCCGAACACTCCTTTATGGCTTCCCACTCATCGCCCCCCCCCAGGGTTGAGCCAAGCGGACTTCAAGGCGTTGGAGGCCATCATCCTGCAGCAAGAGCAGCGCTACATGGTGGAGGGCATCAACCTGCCGCACGCGCAGCGCTACTCGCTGCAGCAGCTGCACGACGCCACCAACGGCTTTGACGATAAACTGCTGCTGGGGGAGGGCGGATTTGGCAAGGTACGACTGGGGACAGGTGGATTCGGCAAGGTACGACGACCGACTGGGGACAGGTGGATTCGGCAAGGTACGACTGGGGACAGGTGGATTCGACAAGGTACGACTGGGGACAGGTGGATTCGGCAAGGTACAATTTATGATGGAAAAAACGCTTAGGGAGGATGGGGGGAGGGGTGGGGGGGGGGGAGAGAAGCGTATCACGTCTGTACGTGATCGTATATACGGAAGTATGTGATACGCCCCAAAATTCGTGATTCGCGGGGTCGGGCAGCCCTAAAAAAAACACAAAAAGAAATCACAAATGTCGAATGCAACCACTTTTTCCTTGGCCAGTGTCACATAATCTCACAAGCAACTGAACGCTAGTAGTCAGAGAAGCGCGGATCTAGCATTTTGCCACCACATTGGCGCGAATCCGGTATCGGCATTACACAAAAAAAAATTACAAACCATCTCTCCCTCGGCGAAATCCTTTCCTGCCCGAAAGTGAAAATTTCCTGCCTGACAGAGCATATTCAGAGCGTTTTCTGAGGCTGGAATCCCAGCAAATAGCGTACGTACGCCACCGTACAGTCCCGTCTGATACCAGACGCATATATTCCAACATAGGACGTACAACTGGGGGAGGATGGATAACGCAAGGTGAGACCGGGGGAGGGTGGATTCGCCAAATTTCGACTAGGTGAGGGCGGATTCCGCAAGGTACAACAGGAGGGGAGAGGCCACTGGCACTCATCCCATCAACACCCATCCCATCAACACCCATCCCATCAACACCCATCCCATCAACACCCATCCCATCAACACCCATCCCATCAACACCCATCCCATCAACACCCATCCCATCAACACCCATCCCATCAACACCCATCCCATCAACACCCATCCCATCAACACCCATCCCATCAACACCCATCCCATCAACACCCATCCCATCAACACCCATCCCATCAACACCCATCCCATCAACACCCATCCCATCAACACCCATCACATCAACACCCATTTCATTGACACCTAGCCCTTGTGTCACACAATCGATTGATGTGCTAGTGGGGTGCCTGGATTTGTGACCCAATGTTTAGGGTATAGTTACTGTGTGGATGTTATTGGCAATGTGCGCGAGCGGTTAGGCTAGGGAAAATGGAATTAATGAGGTTCCAGAGGGAAACGCGAACCGCTGGGTCGATTGGGGGTTGGGTACAAGTGAGCAATATCTCAAGGCAAGGAGGTAGAGCACAAGTCCTAAGGAAGTCAAGCAGGGTCAGGGGGCAACAGGAGCACCATGCGCAAGGGAGAGCAAAGGCTGGTTTCCCACAGTTGGCCACCCTGGTCTCCCTGCTATTGCCTGCTCTCCTCCCCTCCTGTGCCATGGCACACTCACAACCAGCCGAAGCCAGCCAATGGAGATGTCAGTTGGTGAAGATGTCAATGTGGACGCGCACACTCCCCCGTGCCTCTCCACTTTACCCCGTTTCCCCATCCCTTCTGGAGCAACCTTTTTTACCTCCCAACTCCTCTCCTCTCTCTTCCTTCTCTTTTGTGTCTGCCAGTGTATAACAGGGTGCTAGGGAAGGCATTGGTAACAAGCAATGCAGCACACGCACCAACCCCTTCCCCCGTCCCTCCCTCTCCCTCCCATTCTTCCCACCCATTCCCCCTTGGCCCCTTCCTCCTTCCTCCCTTCCCCCCATCCCCTCGCGGTCACCAGGTGTACAAAGGGGTGCTGAATGGTGAGGCGGTGGCGATAAAGATGGCGACCAAAATGCACCAGCATGACGGAAAGGCCTTCAAGAACGAGATCAAGCTGCTCACCAAAGCGGCACACCGCAACCTCGTGCAGCTCAGAGGGTTCTGCGTGGAGAATGACGAGCAGCTGCTGGTGTTTGAGTTCATGGAGGGGGGTGCTCTAAACGAATGGATCACGGGTGGGTTTTGCTCTGAGCGGATGGATCACGGGTGGGTTTTGCATCAACTGTGGCGCCTGCTGTCTCTGCTGCTGGGTGCTGCGCTGCTGGTGATGCACCCATGGTGTGAAGAGACGAGTGAGCACCACAGCCCATGAACTACTCAGCAGCTCCTTCCCACCCCCATCTCCTTCCTCCTTCCCACCCCCATCTCCTCCCTCCTTTCCACCCCCATCTCCTTCCTCCTTCCCACCCCCATCTCCTTCCTCCTTCCCACCCCCATCTCCTCCCTCCTTTCCACCCCCATCTCCTTCCTCCTTCCCACCCCCATCTCCTTCCTCCTTCCCACCCCCATCTCCTTCCTCCTTCCCACCCCCATCTCCTTCCTCCTTCCCACCCCCATCTCCTTCCTCCTTCCCACCCCCATCTCCTTCCTCCTTCCCACCCCCATCTCCTTCCTCCTTCCCACCCCCATCTCCTTCCTCCTTCCCACCCCCATCTCCTTCCTCCTTCGCACCAACATCTCCATCCTCCTTCCCACCCCTATCTCCTTCCTCCATCCCACCCCCATCTCCTTCCTCCTTCCCACCCCCATCTCTTTCCTCCATCTAACCTTTATCTCCTTCCTCCTTCCGACCCCCATCGCCTTCCTCCTTCGCACCCCCTTCTCCATCCTCCATCCTCCTTCCTCCTTCCCATCCCCACCTCCTTCCTCCTTCCCATCCCCATCTCCTTCCTCCTTCCCACCCCCATCTCCTTCCTCCTTCCCGCACCCATCTCCTTCCTCTATCCCACCCCCATCGCCTTCCTCCATCCCACCCCCATCGCCTTCCTCCATCCCACCCCCATCTCCTTCCTCCTTCCCACCCCCATCTCCTTCCTCCTTCCCGCACCCATCGCCTTCCTCCATCCCAACCCCATCGCCTTCCTCCATCCCACCCCCATCTCCTTCCTCCTTCGCACCCCCATCTCCATCCTCCATCCTCCTTCCACCTTTCCATCCCCATCTCCTTCCTCCTTCCCACCCCCATCTCCCTCCTTCCCACCCCCATCTCCTTCCTCCTTCCCATTCCCATCTCCTTCCTTGACACGCATTGTCCGTTTCAACTTGTGATTTTTCCCAACGCCCATCCCATTCCTCTCTCAATCCACTCCCACACTGCCGGCTGGCTCTGCCGACGTGGCGACAGGCGACGGGAAGCGCAGGCTGACGTGGCTGGAGCGGATTCGCATTGCCCAGAACGTTGCAAGTGCACTGCGCTACCTGCACAGCGACCTCCTGAATGGAGAAAGTGAAGTGCACGGGGACATAAAGGTGAGACCGCGCCTCCCTCACTCTTCATCCGTCATTTTCTGAACTAAGAATGCATGAATGAATGAAAGGGTGCCAAGTCCTCTGACCTCCTCCGTCCTCTCAATTTGAGCTCCTCCATCCTCTCAATCTGAGCTCCTCCATCCTCTCAATTTGAGCTCCTCCATCCTCTCAATCCAAGATGAAGTGTGTCTTGGAATGAAAGTCCAAGGTGCGTCACTCAAGGTCACTTCCCATCCCCTCACCTTCTCCTCCCCCCCCCCCCCCCCCCCCCCCCCCCTCCTTCCTCTCCCCCAACCCCCCACTCTCGTGGCAGCTGGATAACATCCTGCTGACGGGAGGGCAGCCCATGGAGGCAAAGGTGGCGGACTTTGGGGCGTCCAAGGAGGCTCACTTGCTGTTGCACCACCCTCCCACCCCCCTCCCCCCCCTCCCCCCCTCCCCCCCTCCCCCGCTCCCCCCACGGCAGCCGGACAACATCCTGTTGACCGCAGAGCCGCCCATGGAGGCGAAGGTGGCGGACTTTGGGACGTCCAAGACGCTGCCGGAGCGCGGCGAGCTGGTGGTCGAGGAGAGCGAGAGGGTCGGCACCAGGGTGAGAAGGAGAGGAGTGGCAGACGGGTGAGGGTAGAGGAGTGGCAATGTGCTGCATCATGCCTCTACTGGCACATCCATTTCTGCACTTCTCTCCTAAAGTCAACACAGGCTCCTAAGTGGTTCAAATCCTCCATCTACAGCCCAATGTTCCTCCCACCCCCACCTCCCCCTCTTTCCCCCTCACCAGCCTTACGTCGACCCGGAGTACGACCGTTCAGGCAAGTTGACAGAGTATAGTGACGTGTACAGCTTCGGCGTGGTGCTGCTGCAGCTTGCCACGGGGCAGCGGCCGGTCATCAGGAGTGACCAGGGAAATGTGCCGCTCAGGCAGTACGTATGGCGCCTCACCTGCACCACCGATGGCCTCTCCTCCGTTGTCGACCCGTGCTTGCGTGGTGCGGGGGAGGGGAGTGGGGGAGTAAGTGCAGGGGAGATGGTGGCGGGGCGGGAGGAGACGTTCGACAAGTTGCTGCGCCTGGCGCTGTGGTGCACATTGGGGCGGCCCAGTGACCGTCCCAAGATGGTGGACGTCGAGTCAGCACTGCGCGACATCGAAACTGAAGCTGATGCTGCTGCTGCTGGTGGTGGTGGTGGTGGTGGGTTTCAAGCGGTGCAGCAGCAGCATGGTGTAGCGCTGGCGGCGAATGGGTTGTCTCCCCAACGGGGCCCTGGGCTTGTCACTGTAGTGCACCCCCCTCCATCCAGTGCCGCCCACGGGGATGCAGCGAAGGGAAACGGATTCGCTGGTGGCTCGCATGCTGCAGCTGGTGGATTCACCACAGAAGAAGAGGAGACTGAGGCGATGACCGGCCCGTGTGCTCGGTAGTGTGTGCACGCTACTGGATGGGAATGAGAAAGGTGGAAGATGGGAGGAGTACCGTCTCCCCCCGGATAGTAGCGCATATGAGCTTATATAAAAATCGTTTTTTTTTTTTTTTTTCAGGGGGGCGCTTCTAACTGAGGTTCGGGAATAAGCGCATACGCTTATATAATGACAAATACAGAAATACAATGTAAACACATCAAATTGTACATATTTGTCTTGCGAGTTCAATCGAATCAAAAATTTTCAGAGTCGTAAGTCAGAATTGCGTGAGGGCGATATTCTGACGGTGCAAAGAGCTTTCGCACGTCACTTTTTAGTCGTGCCGGCTCGTCGTGACTAGACGCTCAACCTATGAGGTCCGCGAAAGTCAAACACACTGAAAACGGAAAATGCCTCGCTGCAAAATCGGGAATCGTTACTAGTCAGGATTTTAAAATAAAATCACTCATGCGCTTATACTATATCAGGGTTTTACAGGGGGGGGGGGGGGGCGCTTATACCGTAATAAAGGACTGGCCATAAGCGCCATGCTCCAGATAGAAGCGCCGGCGCTTTTCATAGGACGGCGCTATCGTATTACCCCGGAAATAAGCGCATGTGCGTCTATAATAAATCAGTGTTTTTTAAGGGGGTGCGCTTATAATTGAGTCAAAATTATACCCGTAATCCCCCTGTATATAGGACCCCCCCCCCCCCCCCCCCCCCAGTTGTAGACCCCCGGGTCTATAATACGGACCCGGGTACTCTATTCGAGTACATCTGAGTTATACCCCCCTAAATGGCTCCTAACATTATACCGTCATACCCCGGATATACCCCCATGGGGGGCACTAATAAAACGTGTTTTTTTTAGGGGGTGGGCTTATAATATAGTAAATTTATAAGCGCCGGCGTTTATGTTATGACAAAAATGAAATTTGTTTTTAAATATACCAAATCGAAGCATTCACAAAGGCGAATTCACCTGAGTCGAGAACGTTCGGAACTGTGCATGCTATGCGCGTGAAACGGCCAACAAGGCGTGGCAACACGCCTTCCACGCCTTGTTGGCCAGGCCAGGTTCATCGAACGTGAACCTAGCGCATGCCTGCGCACACGTACCTCGCATCACAGCGGCCCAATCAGGGTTGCATGCGATCGTGGGCACGTCGTGGTTCAGCCACGGCGTGCCCATCAACAGCAAGATACCCTGCCACCGAGGCAAAGAGCTGCCCAGCTCAGCTCCTCTGCGGGGAATCTTGGCTGTGGCCACACTTTCCCCGCAGAGGAAGCCGGGCCGCGAAACTGAAGGGGTCTCGGGCGAGGGCTTCATACGGCCCTCATTGTCAACGTTTGGTTCAGTTTCTTTCGTTCGTTTGGCCTGCCTTGGCCATGGCGGGCCTTTCAGGCACGCATTTCTTGTTCCGCCGCCAGCCTGCTGCTAGAGAAAGAACCCGCCAAGACACCAGTGACTGGTCTCAATGGCAGAGGCGCCCTGCGCCCGTCCCTCAGTCACAACCAGTAGCGCCTCCCATTCCTCCAACACCTCCTACGCCTCCTACCCCTCCCGCTCCCCCGGCGCCTCCGATTCCTCCCGTTCCTCCGTCCCCTCCTGACCCGCCTGCTGTTGGTGTTCCGCGACAGGGGGTTCTGCAGCTTCTCCTCCCCCCTGGCTACTCGGCGTTCGACGCCTTCCTGTCCGAGCCTGACCGCAGCGGCGGCGAAGGATCTTCCTCCGCACCGGAGCCACGGTGGGGAGCCCCGGCTGATTGCCCGTTGGACGAATCCGCTACCGGTGCCGACGACGACGTGGAGTTCTGGGCTGCTGACGGTCTCCCCGAGCACCTTCCAATTCCCTCTTTTCCTCCTCCGAATAAGAAAAGGCCTCACCCATCTCGCGATAATCGTGATGCCCGTCCTCCCTCCCCCAGGCACAAGCCGTCAACTCACAAGCGCAACAAATACACGTCGCAGGAGAAGCTGCAATGGATTCTGAAGCTCGAAGCCGGCGACATGAGTGTGCGGCGCATGTCTCGCGTATCCGGCATCTCCCGAAGGTGCCTCACGGAGTGGAAGAACCGCAAGGCTGAGCTTGAGGGCGCGCACGGTGCACGATGTCGCCTGCACGGCCGCGGAAGGAGCTCGTGGTATCGCGACATGGAAGCGGAGGTGTACCGTCGGTTTCTCGCCCACCGCAAAAAGTGCCTCGCCGTCTCCATCGCACGACTTCAAAAGTGGTCGCACGAGGTGATGAAGGAGCTACACCCAGGTGAAAAGTGGGCCGGCTCTCAGCGGTGGACTCAGCGATTTCGCCGCCGCTGGAACCTGACGACCAGAGCGAAGACCCGGGTCGGCCGGAAGCTCTCGGCAAGTGAGTTTCATGGCCGTGTTCATGTGTCAATGTGCTCTCGATACACGATTCTTACTCTGTGTTTGTGCTTTCTGTTCCTCCCATCCCGTGTCCCAGACTGCGAGGATGAAGTGAGGAACTTCTGGGCGTTCGTGCGTCACTCCCGCCGCCAGTACCGAATCGAGCTGCCGTGGATTCTAAACGCGGACCAAACGCCACTCTGGCTCGAGATGCCATCCGAACGCACCGTTGAAGAGGTTGGCGCGCGCTCCATCCCCGTCCGCAGCGGCGGCTACCAGAAGGAGCGGGTCACAGTCATGCTCGCCTGCACCGCCAGCGGGGAAAAACTGAAGCCGTGGGTCTTCTTCAAAAGGAAGACCGTCCCGAAAGGAGACTTCCCTTCAGGTATGCACCACACGTCGATTGCGCCGTGGCATGTGTGTTTATAAATTTTCTCTAACATGGTGGTTTTGGTGTGCAGATATCCACGTGGGGGTCCATCCCAACGGGTGGATGGACGCGGACGGGGTCATCGAGTGGCTTGACGGGGCGGTGAAGCCGTACATCAACCCCAAGTTCGGAGTCCGCCCCAAGAAGGTTCTGCTCGTCCTCGATTCGTACCGCGGGCACCTAACCCCGGAGGTGAAGAAAAAGTTTGGCGAGCTCAACGTGGTCCCTGCGGTCATCCCTGCTGGCTGCACCTCGGAGGTTCAACCCCTCGACGTCGCGGTTAACCGCTCCTTCAAGGCCGCCGTCCGCCAGCTCTACCAGGAGTGGTTTGAGCGTGAGGGGGTCGACAGCCTGACGAAGAAAGGTGAGATGTGCAGCCTGTAAGTTTGTGTTTCCTTTATTTAACTCCCTCTAACTTTGTTTCTGGATTTGCGTGGCAGGCAACATCAAGAAGCCTCCTGTCGAGCTGACGCTCAAGTGGATCTCGGCGGCCTGGAAGTCCGTGCCCAAGGAGCTCATCCAACGGGCGTTCCTCACCTGCGGCATCAGCAACGCCCTGGATGGGTCCCAGGACAAGCTCTGCCTGCAACACAGGCGAGATGAGCTCGAGGGCGAGGAGGTCGACATGGATGATGAAATTGCAGCAGACGGCTTCTTCTGCAACAACGTGGAAGAGCCTGAGTCGGACTCTGACGCCGACCCAGATGACCCCACTACGGCAGATGATCTGCGAGGGTAGATAGAAAATGGTCAAGCCTATGTGAGGCTTGTAGGTAGAAGTACATGAGATGTAAATTGACTATTAGATGTTAAAATAGTGAAAGAAAATGTTTAGATGTAGGTAGATTTGTTTAAATAGTGTTAAAAAGATGTTTAGATGTAGATTTAATATTGTTAGATATCTTCAAAATATAAAAACACTAAAAACAAAGGGGGGCGGTTATAATGTGTACAGCACAGGTATGCGGTTATAATCTGTAAGCCTTTTAGGTATGCGCTTATAATCGAGCACCGGATATAAGCGCCGGGCGCCGATTAAAAGCGCCAGGCGCTTATCCGCGGGTGGCGCTTATATCCGGGGTATGACGGTAAGATCCCCCCCCACATCCTAGAGAAGTGCGGGCTTTACAAAAATGCAATTGAAAATGGTCATATTCCATGTTGATTAAGAGAAACCCATGAACGCACATGCATACCCACATTACCATCCTAATCCTGTCCCGCAACCCAAATCTCCACCTCCTCCCCATCATATCGCCCTTCTGCCCACCACTTATCACCACTCAGCGCTGTCGTGTGAACACCAAGTGGTGTTGGTGGCCAATGGGAGGAGGCTCCCAGATAGGGTTCGTGATGACGTGGGTTCGGCCCGTGTGGAGACCAATTCGAGTATTTTTGGGAGGAGCTAAAAATGGAGCAATTCCAAATCACTTCTTTGAGCTCCAAAACTACATTCTTATAAATGTCAATATGAACAGACCTGGATCTTCTAATAAATATACCATTTAATTATACCCCCCCAGCCTTTTTAGGTACGATTATCATAAGACCCTAGGGTCTTATATACGGGGGATTACGGTAAGCGCATGTGCTTATAAAATATAATAATTACAATTTTCAGACACCAACTTGTATATCCCGTGCCTGCCATTTCAATCGAGTCAATTTTACATGGGGCCGTGAGTGAAATTTTCGCGCGCGCTGGCAAATACCGTTTTCTCCCGGATAAAACACCCCCCCGAAATTGTACACCCCCGGGTAGCTTGTGCGGGGTGGGTGTTATAATCGAACTCGTTTGTACTATATCCCCCATTTTGGGGTGATTTTCTATAACACCCCTCTTTTCTATAGATTTGTATTATAGCTGTTATCGATTCCGGTTCCTTACGGGAGGATATCGCGAGAATTGCTCTCTAGACGAAATTTCGCATGTACTTTCACTTCGAATCTGCAAACATTTCCCCCCTCCCACAATCTCGCTGTCGCCACGCTGGCGAATCTTCCGCTGCAAGTGGCCCGAGGTGAAACTCACATTCTCACATGAGGCACAGGGACATCAGTCGTGACCAAACCAGTCAAGAAGTGACTGGTACAGTGACAACGCACCACCGTGCGCGATTTTCGGCCTCGGCGGAGTTGCCCACTGGAAGTTGCCATGTGGCAGAGTCCAGTGGGCGGTCACGTTATCCTCGTATACTCGGTTTTGCGGAACTGATCAACT